TTTCTCATTACGGGATACGTCGGTAAACGAGCAGATGGATCACTTGATAGATACCGTTACAAGTACCTTACCGGCCATTTGGGGATTAGGAATTTGAGGATTGTTGGGGATTCGCGGGCTGTAGGTATTGAGGAGGGGGGTAATAAGGCGGTAACCTCACTCACACGACGAAACACAACGCAAATGTTGTTTCACGTCTGTTTTCTGCTCGGACGTGGTATTATTCCGGTTGATTCGGCCGATTTAAGCCAATCATGGCTTGGGTCTCCCACACTTAAAATGTCTGTGTTTAAACAAAAAATAACTATTATTTTGTTACCTATATTATTAGTAAGAACTTTGTTTGCTAACCATTGTTCCATATTTAGAAGATTCTGTTCAACCAAATATTTCAAACTTGTATTTTATTTTTGTTATCAATTTACTCAACATGTAGTAAGTACATACAAAGAGACAAAACAGTTTTACTATTGCAAAAACGTAGCTCAACTAACACAAACCTGTCACAGACCATTTTACTGTCTGTCTAACTAACACACGACGTAAAAGAACCTAATGGGTCTTGCAGGAGACAAAAAACTTCCCCAATTTTCTTGCTTCGTCTTAGAAACCATCCATCATTTCCTTCACCGGACATTCCTCCCTTTTTCTTCAAAAGGAACGTATAAGGGTGTCTTAAATTCTTCAAAATGTTACAAAGGCGTAAACGGGACACTAGGATCTCGGCGAGTGGTTCTAATGAGCGGACAAGAGCTACGTCTACGCCATTAGTCGTACCGTTCCCTTTTGACGGTCCAGTAAATATTTGCCAAGATATCGCTGAAAGTCACCCTGTTTAAAAATAGACTTTAATGTGTTGGTGCAGGGTGGGTATTGCTTTGTTGGGCGGTGTTAAGATGACACATTGGGTGGTATAGTGAGTTGCTTTGGTTTTGTGTAACTCTAGATAATTGGATAGTTGTTTTAAAACATTCACTTGATTCTGAAATTCAATAAACTATTAGATAAATAATTTTGTTTATGATTTTTATTATTGCCTTTGATTTTTGGGATAAATTACGTAAATAATAAAGGTGGTAATAATTTACGATGCATTGCCGTTAGTCGGGAAATCTCTGATGATATACAAAGGACTTCACCTTCGTCCCCTGCGTCTAATCCCCCACTTGAATCCCGGTGGGTTATAACAAAGTTCCAAATATGACTAACTATATTGACTTCACATGGTTAAAAACGACCCTAATTTGATTTATATTAATAGGTTTTATTCTAATACCAATACATATTTTAGTATATATAAATTCTCAGATAATATCTGGTGTGTAAGGTGAACTTTTAAAGGTCGACAAAAGGTCGCATTTGTGGACATTCTTGTTTAAACACATGTGATTGAAAAGAAAAATATGTATGAGGTTAGAGTACTACTTCGGGTCGTAAATAAATGGATAAACATTTTAACAAAAGGAGTGTCTCGTTCCATATTATAGAGGATCTGTAAAGAATTTCTTGTATTTATAACTTATATTCAAGAATGAGGTTTACGTTTTGAAGAGCGGTAATGGATTTCGTACCCCGTTGTATAGCAGCCATACACCGAGGTGCTTTTCCAACCGCATCTACCTACAATTTAATATATGAGTGGAATTATTTGCCAGAGTATATACCTATTTCCTGAAGGGTATAACGTAGCTGTCTTTTTTATAACAATTAATTTTGACTGTAAATTAACTCGTCGAGTACCGTCTTTGTAGACACAATTATAGAACTATAGGTTGCGGACACCGGTGACCGCTTGGTGTTTGACAGTTTAAAAGAAAATGTAATGGAATGACAAGGGCGCGGACAAAAGTCCGTGGAGAATAAAAAATGTAATATTAAAAAAAAAGCCTAGCTGTCTTCAAAGCCCGAACGAATAGGTTGCTTTGGGACGACGTAGACTGCATCTTCGCTTACCAGTGAGCTGACATAGTGGTCAAACGGCGGCCCATCTTTATATATATAGTTCTTCTGTGAGTGTGTATGTCACTGAACTTCTCTCAAATGACTGGACCGATTTTGATGAAATTTTTTGTGTGTGTGTTCACGGGGATCTGGGAATTGTTTAGATTCACAAATCAGCCTGTCAGATGGCGCTGCAGTCCGCTAGTTAAACTATAAAAAAAGTTTACATTTAAACAATTGTAATCCAGACCAGAACTGTAACGTTTAACTAGATATGTTGTTAAAATTATCTGAGCTATCACGAAGTAATTTGATGAATTTCAAACATTTCCAAGGTAAGCCACAAAGAGAACAGACAACTATCACCAGAATTCGAGTTAAAATGTTAAAAGTTATACTTAAAATGAAACTATTATTTCAACTATTCAGCACCGAGTCATGAAGTTGTAGTTAATTAATTTAAAATTTCATTAACAACGACTCTGCGGTGGCATTTCGTTGAAATGCAACTATAAACCAAAGTTTTAATCATTTTGGGACGGAGGTGTGAGCTGTGACGGGAACATGGCGTGGTAATGAACACATTTTCATTTTGCTTTACTTCCCAAATATGTTTTCCAACCAGTGTGACGTATTTAGATGGGTGTATGCTAAAAGTTTAATATATAGCTATTAAAAAAAAACATTGCTTCACAATAGGATTTTCTCCTGAGTCGTGGTTGCGTTTACAAAACATACAAGTTCACATACGCATGACACCCAGACACGGTATAACAATCTGTGGATCACACAAAGAGTTTTGTTCCGCAGGAATCGAAACCACGGCACGTTGCGCCGCAGCCACTTATCAAGCCACCGCACCAACCGTGCAGTCACCGCATTAGTTATATTTTATAATTGACTTCATCTTTGTTTGAAGTCAATTGTCCTGGTTTAGTATCATATACCTGTTTCTGTTAACACCTGGACTCCAATAGCACGCCAATAAATTCGTTCTTCAACTCTTCTCGTCTCCACTCCAGAACACGTCTACCTCAACGTTCATAGGTTCTCCGACAAATATGACCAGTCTACAGAGGACTTATACCTAACTTACCATTTTAAACTTTATCAATGAGCGTATATTTACATTAAACCAAGTGACATACTGACATAAAATAGTTAAAACCTTTTATAATTGATTATATTAGAGGTATATTACTTAAAAAGTTTGAACTTGCAAAAAACTTACTCTTTGACTTAGCAGAAGAAATTAAGTAACGAAGTTTCACATAATAAACGACTTTTTAAACGAAAAAGTCGCAGATTGCTCCAACTGAATTATTGATGACCTTCTCCTGGAGTGAATAATTTCTTCGGATATTAACTCAAGTGAGAAAATAGAAATGAGTCCTTTATTAAAACACTAGCTTTTTCATCGGTGGCTTTCCTTGCATGTAATTTTTCAAATTTATCTCGAATAAGTATCGATTCTGTAGGAATATAAGGATAAAATCTGTGTAAAAGACCAAATTTTATAAATCCAAACGTTCTAGCAGTTTTGGAGTATGCTTAATGTCAACAAATAAACAATTATTGGGTACTTGTCAACTAATTAAATTCAATACTTTTTTTGAACTGTCAAAAACGACAGAGTTCTATGAATTTTTTGCGAGATGGATTATTGTAACATCAGGTTTTTTAGCGTAAAACAGCATTTTTTTTAATTTGCTGGAAACATACTAAAATTACGTTTATCATAACATCAATTAATGTAAGTGTGATTATTTTTTAAATATTTTATTGTATTGAACAGTCGTAATAATTTATTTTCGACTAAGAAAAGTACCCAATGAGGATAAAACTTATATTTTTGTAACTTTAGCACTAAAACTAGGTACTTGTGTCATAAATTAAACTACGTCAAGTTTCAACATTCAATTTATTAGACGTTTATAATATTGGAATTTCATTGTAACGTATTTTTTTATTCATTTGTCTATTTTTATACAGCGCTTACACTTAAGGCTATACATTGCCCAATAAAAACTCCTTTTCTATGTACAAGCAGTAAAACAAGCATTGCGTCTATAAATATACATTTACATTATTTTTTATATACAATATATGTTTCTATGTAATATTTACAAATAATTTTAGATCAAATTTATTTATTTATTTATTTATTTATTTTATTTATTTATTTAAGGACAACCAACAAAGCATACACCAAAATACATGATAGGTTTTTTAACATATTTTAACACTCTATAGTGTAGCCTTAATTAAAGGCTGCCACGACATGCATTATAAAAGAACAGGATAAACAACAAAAAAAAACAATAAGTTCGCTTATCAAAAAAGACATCAATTTCAATCACAATTGTTACTTCTTCTCAACTTTTAAATTGTACAATTTTGATTTGAATATGTAGTACATATTGTGCAGTTTAACTCTGTGAGAATGTCCTACGCAGGACAGTTTTCACTTTGAAAAGAGAATAGGACATGTCAATATCCACACTAAGTGAGCATGACAGGCGACTAAATTGTTCTTGCATTCTATTAATTGAGGAAAAATGACCCAGGCTTGTTTTAAAGCCTTTACCTGAAAGCAACCGATATCTAGACATTCGAGCCAGTTTGAAGGGCACATTGACATTAATCTGGCTAAGTAACTGCGGACAGTCGATGTGATTGTTTATTAGTTTGTACAGGAAAAGGTGATCTAGAAATAATCTGTTTGATCGAACAAAAGAGGCTTTGTAAGTTCTCTATTGTTTTCACATTGTTCGTAAAACCGCGTTAACAAAAAGTTTTTCTTTGATCTAAACTTAGTTTAAAATGTTGTTTTTCTAACTGGTCTTGCCTTTATTGTTTTTGAACAAGCTTTATTTACAGTTATTTAGAGTTACATTTACAAAATAATGAGAAGTTTTATTAAATTTGAGGTTGTAATATGTAGTCTGCGATAAAAGTCAACGACGGTATTTGAACTACAACAATACAGTCGCTGAATGCTGCTCATGAATATGAGCCTCTAGCATGGCTTGAAACTAGTCGAGTTACTGGTCAAATAATTACGTGAGTAAGCCGAAAACATATTAATTTATTTAATGTCCAACGAAAGTTTTAATATAATCATTCATATATGTTAACTGATTTTGGAACATTGCTATATTGTTGCCACACAACATATCGAACACAAATTACGTAGTAGCAATACTGCATACACCAACAACATATCTACTCAAATTCCACAAATATCTTCACTGTATTTTCAACTTTATATATAAATTATAAAGTCAAAAGTATATGTTGACTAGTTTCATCAAAACTTTTCTATAAGCAGACCACACGTTGTACTAAAATCACCATAATATTTGTACAACTTCATTTTCCATTGAAAATTATATAATATACATACATAGGTATAAAAATAACTTCATCAATCAATTCGATCACCAGTTTGAAAAACCTATTACAAAATAAATCGCTTTTTTTTCAAAAACAGTTATAAATATCAAATTGATGTCTTAACTTGATACGCACAGAATATTATTATTTATTGTACTCTCGATAACATGGAAATTTGAATCGCTAGATGACACGTCAAGCGAATTTTTGTTAATCGCTAAATTGGTACAATCGGATTTAAAAAGAAAATAGATTATGAGCTCTCACTAAGGAACTGCTAAGGAGTGTAATTCCTTACCAGCCTAGAGTTACAAAAATGACAAGAATGCCAAAAACAGACATTGTGTGAACTATAGCAATAGATCGTAAATAAAAAGTGATAAAATAATACTATTTTTAATATTAAAAGTTTGAGCCACAGCAATCTACTTGCCCCAGGCATCCGTATTATCATTAACGTAAAATATTTCTGTAGACAAAACACATTTTCAGATTAATTATCTCATAATACGAAAAGCAGAGTTTGAAAAATGAATTCCCTTTGTGTTTCAAAAGGTAATTTGCGAAAATATCACATAAAAGAAAGCTTTGTATTTTTTTGTTCTTTTCACGAAACTGGGAACACGCAATGCACAGTTCATGCAAAATTCTCATTGCTTTAATCACTGGCTGCACTTACATTTACATAATTACCTTTCAAAATAATAAATGCTTTGCCTGTTTTTGCTTTGCAATTAGCTGCCAGAACGCGAAAGTAATTAAGTTAAATAAAAGAATTAGATGATTGGCGCCCAAGGGAGAGCTTTAGTGCCTCTTCTAAGGGTCTCTTCACATTTTTATTGTCTTTTTGGCATAAAACGGTATTCATTTGTCCGTTCGTTACTGGTATCCAAATCATAAATGCAAGCAAAAAAAATATAATACTTATGTGTAAGAATATCTTCTACATCTTCTTCCTAAATCTATATAAGGACCAAGAACTAACACAAAAACGGGCTACCGTAGTTACGGACCCTTCGGTTGATATCAATGGACCCGATCTTCGATGCGGTTCCAGTGATCTAGGTTTTGTATAGAATACTAAAGATTGGATATGTATATAGGTATAAAATATAGGTCAAAGGTTATCAAAATGCCAAGGTCTGTAGAATAGAGATCATTAGAAATTACTTCGAAAAATAATAAGTAATGAGAAAAGAAGTTAAGAAAACATGACCATTTCCAAGAAGTCGAAGCAGTAATTAAATTGAAATCTTAGCAACGATAGAGCAAGTTCTTGAAGCATTTCCTAGAAGAGAGAGCCTGTACAAAGTAGCTTGAAGTATTTATTGTTTTATGACGATCGTTTTTCCGGAAAGCAGTTCCCAGTGGTCAGAGAGAATTTCTAGGTATTACGATATACAATACATTTGATAATATTTATGTGCTAATTATGCCAACTTCATAGATACTGCATAGATTTAGATAATGGGTTCATATACCTGGAACATGATCTCATTCTCAGCCATTCCATTTCTTTATATCAAACTAGAATATTGTCATTTTCAGCATCACCAAAACCCTTTAATTTCGTTGACATGTCAAATAGCTTTCAAAACAAATAAAACTGAATCTTATACCCTAGTCAATAGTGACGGTTTTTCACGTCATAGTTCATGAAGGCTAGCATCGGTGTCACTTTCTGCCCCTCCTAAGAGGAGCGTGGACTCGCATGGTAGCGAGTGCCGGGGCTGGGGCTCCGAGGGCTGGAGGGGCGGTAGTAGTCACAGCTCGATGGGCGCTGCGCCCTTCCATGTGACGCCGGCTCGGAGGAGGTGGTATAGTCGTAGGACACACCATATGCATAGACACTGTGGAAGAAATATGTTATCAGTAATAAGCTTAGGCACCAGGGTAGTGGAAGTATATAAAAGAAGAAAAAATTACAATACTAATAACGAAGTGGTTTTGATTGTTACGTAGTGTTATTGAACATTTATCCAAGACTGTAATCTAAATGCCAAACGGCAGTTGGAATTCCAAATTCTGAGCTATTACTGAACAATTCTAAAACGTCATACATATACCTCTGAAGAATGCTTTTTCTAACATCGCTGTAAAATCTTCTACTATAGATTCAGAGAACATTAATAGACACTTTGTACATAAAAAATCTATCCTAATTGATCACAAATAAAAAATGGGAGGCTAAGTATGAAACGACCCACTTATGCACACTAACAAACTTGGCCATTAGTGAAGTTGTTCGCTTCTACTTCATCGAACAACTTCATCTAAGTGAGCATCCAATATTCAAGGCAACGTAAATAATGTCTACTTAATACATAGTTTTTCGAGAATGTCAGCTTTTTGTATATTACTCGTAAAAAAATTAAGGGCACGATTTTTATGAACTATCTTACGTCTTCTTCTACCATATTCTATGGAAAAAATCTTATTTATTTGCAAAATATCTACATAGAGTATAGAAACACTTAATAGGAACATAGGCTGATGGTTGTTGCAGCAGCTATAAGCTAACATCAAGTGAAAAGGTAAGAAAAAAATAACAATTTAAAAAGCATATTTTCCTAGGGAACTTTGTTCGAACACACAATGGGTCTCGTTGCGTTATTTTGGGGCCACGTCGCACGTTGACTTATGACATACGTCGCACAAAAGAATTGGAAAGTCTCGGATAAAACCTAACCTAGAAACAGTACAGTGTTCAACAAAAGTTTTGCTGTGTTGACATTTGAATTTGACATGGTTGTTGCGCTTTTTATTTGGTGCACTGTACGTGTGTTTGAATAGAATTGAGAGAAAAGTGCCTTGGAATTGTGGCGCTTTATAAACTCTAAAAGATTTTGATACTTTTCATTAGATTCTTGCATCATGTATGTGTGTACTGAATAGCTTCTAGACGTATTCATACTAACACGATACTAAGCAGTATATACAGATACTCGTAAAATTTTTGCAATTTGCAATTTTATGTCTATTTTATTGCAACTGCTCTAGTTTATAGACGACCGAGTAGACGCTGGTAGTATTTTAGAATGGAAAAAGTCTTTATTTTATTACCATTAGGAATGGATATCGAAGTGCAAATGTTACAATTGATGTTTTTGTCTAAGCGCATCGTCTGAAATTAAGATTAAATCAGCAGATACATACATACATACATAACTTCTCGCTTGTCTCCCATGGGGGTAGGCAGAGACTATGGAACGCCAATTACTACAATTCCTACATACCCCTCTCGCTTCATCAACGGTCATACATTTTTAGTAAGCAGGTAATGTCAAAAGTATCAATAACAATAGATTTTTGTATCGCATAATCTTTCTAGAAATTCTTCATCTCCCTTAGCCATGAGTATCACACAATAATGAGAACAATACACACTTGATTAAAACTGGTACTCAACGGTTGTCTAAAAGTTATTTCATTCAATATTTTTTTATTAGAAAAGAAAACGTATATATTCTGTTTTCCACTATTTTATCATCTATTAAAAGTTGTTATGTTGTTAATATTAAAATACTTACATTTAATAGTATCCGTGGTATTAAGAATGATATTTCAGCTTTGCACATTGAGTCAAATTGCTGCAACAAAGGAAAAAGAATAAGTTAGTGTATTGTCATACAGGCTGGCTTACAATACATTTTCTATACATTATTTAATACAAAATAACTATTTTAGGGACTGTAACAAATAGAAACAATTTCAGGGTGAATTTGTAGTGTGTCTATTTATTATTATCGATATTACGAATTTGAATCTGACTTCATAAGAAAAACGATACCAAAAGAATTTTAAGTTCAGTATGTGCGGTACAAATAATATACTTCACACACAATACATATGTAAATTGTGTCTACACTCAAGAGAAAATAAACGGTCACTAAGGTTTTTTTTCTTTTTAATTTCTTGATAAATATTTTCGACTAGCTGTGCCCGCGACTTTGTTCGCGTAGAATAGTGACTATGAGCAGCGTTTTTTTTTTTAAAATATATACTTATTTTTATTTTAGATTTGGATCATAATCACAGTCATTTTGGGTAGCTAAAAAACCTACTTTACTGTAATGCTTCTCTATATACAATATTAGACGTATGGCCATCGGGGGTGAAAGCATACAGGCTGCTGGGATTGCTAACACGGGACAGAGCCACATACAATTGACCGTGCGAAAAACAGCTGATACTTAGATCTATACCCACAACTTTTAGAGTCTGACCTTGAGCTTTATTAATTGTCATGGCGAAACATAGGCTCACTGGAAACTGAATTCGTTTAAAATTAAACGGAAAATTTTTTGGAATGAGAGGAATCTGAGGAATAAAACCACTATCACCTTTTCCGCACCCTGTTAAATATATATATATTTATAAGCCATTTCTGAGATTAGCGTGAACAGACAAACAGACAAACAGACAAAAAAAAAGTTAGTTACATTTTTGGGTTCGACATCGACATAACAATAGCCCCTGCTATTTTTTTTATTTTTATTTTCAATGTACAGACAGCACTTTTCTACAATTTTATTATATGTATAGATATAGATAGATAGTGTTCGACGTGATTCTTTAATTTGACGTAACTTTTTTATTTATGAACCGATTGACATGAAACAAACACTAAAGCATAACTGAAGCATACCACAATATATTCGTGAAAACCGCATCCAACTCGGATAAGCCGTTTCTGAGATTAGCGTGAACAGACAAACAGACAAACAGACAAAAAAAAAGTTAGTTACATTTTTGGGTTCGACGTCGACATAACAATAGCCCCTGCTATTTTTTTTATTTTTATTTTCAATGTACAGACAGCACTTTTCTACAATTTTATTATATGTATATAGATGTAAGTATTTTATTAATTGGCAACGTATGTCGTATGAAAGGCAATTTGATAACCTTTAAAAAGAGAGCATTTAAAAAGAATTTCATTTTTTAAAGTTTAGAGGGTTCGATGAACTAAAAAAAAAGCTGTCGTGGCTCCATTTCTTTGCTCCCAGGTACATGTCATCCAACGATATTTTAGTACCTACACCACTTTATTTTATGATCGATACAAAACCCACTTATGCTGTCATCCCTACATCAGATTTCTTGAGTTGATCAACCCGCATACATTAAATTTTCCTCCTGTCTAGGTGTACCTCTCTCCAATAATAAGGTTCCATAACTGGAACATATTTCAGGGTGAAAGGTAGGGTCGATGACCGTTTTTTTAACTTCTTTGCTCGTTCTAGCCTAAGGCACATTTTGTCCAACCAATTAATGTTGTGTATTACAATGAAATCGCCTGTGGGATAAGTTTTTTTTAATATCAGGAAAAATACCGCCATTTGGACGTTGATATAGGTATTATGAGTGTATGCATACTTCTGTTTGTTTTTGGGTTAATATAACTACAACATAGTATAAAACAAAGTCGCTCTGTCTGTCTGTCCCTATGTATGCTTAGATCTTGAAAACTACACAACGGATTTTGATGCGGTTTTTTTCAATAGATAGAGTGATTCTTAAGGAAAGTGTATATGTATAATACTTGCATTTTGCACCCGTGCGAATCCGAAGCGGGTCGCTAGTAGACATAATTTTTTTTACTTATTTGCCTAATGCTATGTATCTTTCTGACATTCAGCATTACTTTTGGTGGTCTATGTAAGTGGCATGGGACATATCTGTCCAGCGGCATACTCTCATAATTTATTGTTTAGAACAGGTCCTGTGGTACTCGTAATTTTAGTCTGCGAACTCCTGGGAATATGTTTGCATCCATAAGTTGTAGACATTCATTAACTACTATTTCTTTTCAACGATCGAAAGAACTAAATCTGACAAAATAATCAGTTTTGCTCGATAAAACTGTTAAAACAAAAATCTGTTTCATAAACAATCTGATATTAGATACCGCCCCTAAAATTTAATTATATTTTCGGAGGAATTTTCTAGCCATTAGCAAAATCACTTAGTGGTTTTAGCCTAGTTTAAGTATAGAAGACCGTAACGAGTCATTTTCTTCAAACTCGTCTAAATTTGATCGTAAATAAGCCATTACCGTCCTAGATAGCTTCGACGATCAAAATAAATTTTGCGACATTTTAATTGGAACTGCGCAGTTTTGGAACTTTTTTAGTATAAAGGCGAAGTTGACCTCTGTTTTGATTTCAGTTTCTGGGCTGCAGAAAGTTTTGGGTTTTCAAATAGTTCTTCTGGTTTGAATTTGTGGTCCGGTGCGGCGTTAAACGTTAAGAATGTCTGCATAAAATATTTTACCGCAAACTAAGAGAAGCTATTGCATGGTTATGATCACATTGATCACTTTAGACGCCGAACTTTTATTACAACATGTCATTTTAAACTGCGATTATATAAGACTCTTTCAATGTGTTTTTAAAGAATATTAACTTGTGTTGCTTTGTACTCAAAGATTTATTATTAAGAACTTGAACACAATAAAGAAACTAAATTACACCTTTATCTTATTACCTATTTATCTTTAATCAAAGAATCAACTTTTAAAGTTTATTCCTTTACAGTTTTATGTTAACTTCAAACAATTTATTTTCTAAATTAGCATATTGTACTTTTCCGTAATCCATTACACATCAAAATTCTTGTATTTTTTTAATTACCAGTGATTATAGAGTTTATAGATAAATTATGTCATAGACTGCATAAATCTAAAGAATTAGTGTTTTTCTTTACATATACATATATCCACCATGGCATTTCAGCTCAAGCTTACACATCTCACACAAGACTGTGTAAGAATATTTGTATTTGATATGAGATCAAACCAAAGTAGATCTTAGTAACATTTACGCTCTTTTTTTAATTATTATATTATTAGAAAACAGGCAAAAAGCTATGTTTAAAGAAAAAAAAAATACAACGTCGATCTTTAAGAAAAATGTAATTAGAACGACTGGATAATTGAGACAAATGTCTGAATTTTTATTTAAAAAAAAAAAATACTCAAACGCAACTCAATTTTAAGTCGCGCTTAAGTATAGTTCTGTCTCCACAAATTCTTTGTAAAATGAGAGATGACACGATATTTAAGCACGACTTAGTTTGAGTAACGTTTCAGTATTCCGGCAATAGTTATTTAACCTCAAATTAAAAAATTAACAAAGAAGGTTGCCAGGACAAGCGTATTGCCGGTCTGACAATTCTTGAACGAAAAGAGCGCTGTTATATAATGAATCCGAATTGAAAGTCAGTCAAAATAAATGAAACTTTATGTTGTAAGCAATAAAACCTCTCATCTAGTTTAATTTACTGTAGGTGATAGTTTGCATTGAGCTTAGTTACTCACAAACATGGAGTTGGTATCCAGGGAAATTATGGTTCAGTTTGAATATTAATACAAAGCAACCAAACATTTGTGATGAAGGCTATTTCTGTTTGCTATTTGTTTTTAGTAGTAGAAAATGTAAGAACCTATTACAGTCAGAAATTTTCATTAAATTACTGCAGCAAATTTTCCAAAATTAGTATGTGTAAAACATCTTTAATGAGTCAAACAAGGTCTCTAACACATGAAATATAATTCTTTTCTATTTGATAAAACTGAAAACAAAAAAAAAATACACTTAGAGCCGATTTGTCCAACGTTAGACAATTTTAAACTGAGAGGTATTACTTTAAATATTTGACAATCCTTCTAGACTAAAAACAGTCAATGTAAATTTTATTCTACAGTTTAAAATTAACTGATGATTGAAAAATCGACCCTTATAGATGTATTACACCGAAGATAGAAGAATTTTCAAGAGGGATTTCTTCAAAAAGTAATAGTATAGAGACATAATAGTATTTTTACTATTATAGACATAGTATAGACTAAAACAGTAAATCATAATAAACTAGCTTTTAATAATTGTGTAAAAATACATGTCAAGGTATGATTTAATTAAATACCATGCATATTGTAATCCGGCCACCGTAAGCACGGGCCTGTGGACGGCGAGCATGAGTAGCTCGCTGCCCGACCAGAACCAGATCCAAAAATACGGCGTGTCGCGTTCAGCGCGTGCCTCAAAGAGCCATCAGACCATCACGGATAAGGCCCAATAGGGCTGATGCCGATACAGAGCCGCGTAGGACTTAACAGGTTGCTGGGGCTCCGGCTCAAAGGGCAGGAGTAGGAACGCCTCACCCAGGCGGGACAAAGCATTCAATGATTTTTCCCCCTTAAAAAATGCATATTGTAAAAAAAACATAGAAATAAGAACTTAAACGTTAAGCCTGTCTACTGTTGTACATAAACCTGAATTACAGTGTTTACCGCCTCATTGTCGTTTCCACAGTTTTTAAGTAGCCTGACCACTTTGTGTCTTCCGGTACGCGGTCGCCATTTTAAAACTTTTGGGTCCATTAGCCAACAAAAACAAATATTCACATTAATTTACACTGAGTTTTACTGAGTACTTTAACGTCGGAGGTTTTTGGAAAATGAAATTACGAATTTGATTTCATTTTGAGTTTATTATTATGGCTTGCTGGTCGAGTCAACGTCAAAGTCAAAATCATTTATTTCAATTACACCAGGAAGGTACTTTTGAACGTTAACAAAACAATTTAA